CCTCCCCTTTTGCTGTGGCAGGCCCCCTGCCCCTGGCTTCTGTGCTGAGCAGCACCCCAGAGGACCCCAGTGTCTGATGTGTGAGCAGGCCATTCCAGACAGTGGGATTGGGCCTTGTGCTTGGGGGCTCCGTCTTGGAGTGGTCAGTGTGGGCCAGGCCAGGCCTCAGTGTTTTCTCTTCCTAGGCCAAGTCCAGGGGTGTGGAGGCCGCCCGGGACCACATGTTCAACGGGGAGAAGATCAATTTCACCGAGGTGAGCAGGCCTGGTGGACGCCAGGCTCCTCATTCCCTCTGGACCCCTCCCTTCCCTTTGGAAGGAAGACAGTTCCTTGACCGACTGTTAGCAGCACCTCCCCGTGTCCTCACCCTTCTCTTAGGCAATGCTTTTACATAATGAGAGGCCTGAAGGCCTGTTTCCTCTGCCGGTTGCAGGACTTGGGGGCCTGTCCTCCCCAAGATCAGCAGTTGGGTTTGGTGAGCTCCTTGAAATGGCTCCCAGTGTTTGCCCCAGAAGGACCATATCTCAAGCCTGAAGGGAGAGGGTTTCTCAACGTTAGCTCAGACATTTTCTTGACAAACTTAACTTTATATCCTTGTTGCCAGTTTTTTTGTTTGTTGGTTTGGTTTTTTGAGAGGTTTTTGCTATAAGGCGTGTGGTCACAAGAAAGAGACAGAAAGAGAGCAATCACCCCCCAGGGGGTTGGCCACAGTGCAGTCCCTTCTCCTCCATTCTCCTCTTGGGATCTTAGGCACTCACGCACAAGCACCTGGAGTGAGCTTAAGCCACCAGGTCCAGGACTCAAACCACGGTCAACTCTGTGAGAGTCCAGCGACGTAACGATTACACTATCTGCTGGTCCTGGCACTTTGCTTTTATAAGTTTTATTTCTTTCCTGAGAGAGAGAGGTGATAAGGCACACTGTCTCCCATGCCACAGCTCCTCTATCCCCAGCCTTCCAACTAGCCAGAATCACTGATGTCACTCGCCTGTTCATGTCTGCCAGGATCTGAATCCAGGGGCTTCCAGGGGGCTGTGGGATTATGCGGAAGTACCCTACTGCCTGCACCACTGCCGCTGGGCCCTTGCTGCAAGTTTGATTAGTGACTAGAAGAATCTTATGTCACAAAAGGTCTCAACCTCTTCAACAGTAACAGTCAGTAGGAAGCAGGGGTGAGGCCCAGCCTTGGGGGACCCTGTTACTGACTTGCGTGGAACCCTAGAGGTGTAATAAAATAACACTGAGCACTCAGACGTTCTTATCTTCCTTTTACATAGGAGTAACCAAAGCTCAGAGGTCAGATCATTTACCCAAGATGTCCTAGCTGTAAGTGACAGAGCCAGGATTCAGTCTCAGCCTGTGTTGGACTACTAGGCGAGACTGAGGGAGAGACTAATCAAGAAGGGCTTCCTGGAGGGTACATTTGTCTGTGGAGGTGAGGTAGCATGAAGCTGTCCATCTTAGTGAGCCTCTCACTGGGTTGAAATCCCAAGACAAACTTTCCATGTCCACCGGGAGTCTTCAGACCTGCTTCCCTCTAGAACTCTACCATTGACTCCAGCTGGATGGGGCCTTTTCACTTGTGACCAGGCAGCCGCCTGGCACCTGTCCCAGATCGACTCTGGTTTGGTTTCCAGTGAGGAAAGCCTGAGTTCTTGCCTTGCCTCATATCCAAGGGGCTGAGGACACTTTTCTAAAGGGACCAGCAAACACCACATGCTCTTGGCGACAGGCTTAATGAGCTCTGGTCTTCTGCTTGTCTCCAACCAGTGTTGTCACCACCCTCTTCTTTTGCTCACGCTGTTCCTCTTTCCTCTGACTGTTCACACCCTGAGCCTGTCCTTGTCTGTTCATGTCTCTTGTCACTCACTTCGGACCATCTGTAGCACATCAGGGGGTGGCCCACGCTTCACCATCCTGAGTCCTGACATAGCTCCTACTCCCACGGGTTCTTGGTAGAAGACCAGGGTCACACTGTACCAAGTCCAGCTGGGAGTGTGGCTGCCCTAGGGCTGGGGGTGGTTCTTAACACTCTGGCTTATCTGCAGAACCGGGCAGTGCTGCACGTGGCTCTGCGGAATCGGTCGAACACTCCCATTCTGGTGGACAGCAAGGATGTGATGCCAGAGGTCAACAGGGTTCTGGACAAGATGAAGGCTTTCTGTCAGGTGAGTGGCTACCAGACCGGACTCGCCCTTGCCCACGTGTGTGCGTATATTTGGGGATCTGGGAGCCCAGTAGGTGGCAACTTCACTTTCCATGGAGGCAGGATTCGGGCTATCACTGCAGGCAGAGGTGGGGATGGCCTATGGGATTGCCAACCCCAGGGTTTCTGCTGAGGCTCACATTTCCCCTGGCTCTACTCTGAGGGAGTCCACTGCTGGCAGCAATGAAGACTTGCTTTCTTATGTATTTATTTAGAGGTTTTTTGTTTTGTTTTTTGTTTGTTTGTTTGTTTGTTTTGCTATACAGCACATGCAGTCACGAGAGAGACAGAGAAAATGAGAAATTACCCCCCATGGGGGATGGGCATGCTGCAGTCTCTTCTCTGTTCTCCTTCTAGTATTTTGGGCATGCACACACACACATGCCCAGCATGAGTTTCAAGCTGCTAGATCTAGGACTTGAACTGTGGTCAACAATGTGGGAGTCCAGTATGCCAACCATGGGTTTGCTTTTCCTTTTATTTTTATTTTTGTGCCAGAGGGCACATACATTAGCCAGAAAGAGACAGAGAGGGAGGGAGGGAAGGGAAGCACCACCCCCAACAGGGCATGGTCATGCCAGTCCCCTCTCCTCATTTCTTTATCCCATCAGGATTCTGGGCATGCATACACAAGTGCCTGGCATGTCTTTCAAGCTGCCAGGGCTGGGACCTGAACCACAGCTATGTTGGATCTAGCTCCATACTCTCTAGGCCAGAAGACCAGCATGATGCTTGCTTATTCTAGCCTCTTTAGCTGTTACTGACTAGTCTGGAACCAGATAAAATGATTGTCATAAAATGTCCACAGCCCCATCCCCAGCCAGCTTTCCTGAGGCAGCCTGCTGGGAACCGCTCGGCTGAGCCAAATTTTGAGTGGGGAAGGCTGTGGACTAGAAATAAACGTAACAACGAACACACAAAGACATACAAGTATGGAAAAGCAAGGATCAGGTGGGCCTCACTTCTCTGATGAAGAAAGCTGCAACCAGGAACCAGCCCCAGGTTTATTCTTTTAGAGGGCAGAAAATGGAGGAAATGGAATGCAAAGCCAGTTGCTTTAGGATGTAATTCGTCTGAAGATGCGAAAACAACTGGTGCCATGTCATTTCTCTGATCTTTTTGGGATGAAATCTGATAAATACATGTGGCTTCCTTTAGCGGCCATCATTCAGTGTATCGACAACAACAGGCATATAGCATTTTCATACATAAATGCTCTCATAGCCATTGCTAAGAAGCGCGTTTCTGCATGTGTCTGAAGGTCACCATGTTTTCTGAGATTGGCCGCTTTTCACAGCAGCCTTATAACATTCCCTATGACATCTTCCCGAAAGCTCCTCCGTGTGCACTCGTGCTTATACATACATCCGTGTCTTCTCTTTGAAACGCACGCATACACACACATTGTCATTCATACTTGATCTCCTACAGCTTATTTCCATGCAGAAACGTGTAAGAGATACCTCTAGGGCCAGCAGGTGGTGTGGGGAAGGCATTGGAGTCCCACGTAGCCAACTACAGTTTCAGTCTGAACCTGGCGGCTTAAAAATCACACTGGGCACATGTGTGTGCATGCCCAAAATCCAAGAGGAGACTGGAGAAGAGGAAACTGGTGTGGCCATGTTGGGTGGCAGGAGGGTGATGTCTCACTTTCCCTCTCTGTCTCTCTCTGATGAGTGAGTGCACAGACCCTATGGCAAAAAAAAAAAAAAAAAAAGAAAAAAGAAAAGAAAAAAGAGATGCTCTTGTGTCTGCATTAGTGTGCATGACTGTGCCTCCTCCTTTTCCTGTGTGCATGGGGGTAGGGGTTGCTTCAGAGACCGGTTACGTTTCCTCACGTAAACCACTGTTGCCTCAGTTTCTACCCATTGATTCTGTATGGGTTGGCAGACGTCTTTGCACCTGCAGTACGAGGTGATGCCTGGGGCCTGTGTGGTTGCGTGCATGTTTGTTTGTATGGGTTAGGCATGTTCTGGGGATGATCACCTGGGCTTTGGTCAGCTGGCTCACTCACTGCTTGTCCCTGAGAGCAGTGGCCCCATGTGTAGCTGGTCAAAGTCTGGTGGCTTTGGCCAAGAGCCATGATCAGAACTGAAAGTGATGCCAGCCATAGAGGTGATCTTGGCATCAGTCCTAAAGTCCTAGAAGCTACTTGCGTGAGACTGCAGGGCGAGGAGGGCTTGGGCCCTGATGAGAGTCTGCATTCCAGGATGTCCCTGAGGGTGGTCGGTCCATGTAAGAGTCTTAGGGACTGGGAAGGGCATTTCCAGCCACCTTGGGAGCGACAGAGTTGATGTGCTCCAGAAACCTGGGGTGCTTGCTGTGGTCAGACCAGGCATGCTCAGGCCCTCCCTGTGGAGAGTGGTTCTAGCTATCTGGGGTGGTGTTTCTGGGAAAGCCCTCCCTTAAAGCTGGCTGCAGGCATACCTGACTCAGACTGAGGGGGTATTTATAGTTCAAGAAAAGCTGCTGAACAGCATTTCCTGGTGAGGAATACTCGCCATGGCCATGCTCCCAAAAGTCCTCCAAGCTTGGGTGAAGGCGTTTGCCATGGCCATGATTGTAGTGGCAAAACTCAAAACTCGCCTGTGTTTTTTTTTTTTTTTTTTAAGTGCCAGAGGCCAGGAAAGATAGAGGAAGAGAAAGGACAGGAGTAAAGGAGAAACAGCACCCTCTCAACAAAGCCCGGTCTTACTGCCATCTCCATCCTGTCAGGACCCTGGGCATCTGTGCATACCTGGCATGTTTTCAAGCTGCCAGAGCTGGGATTTGAACCCTGGTCAGCCATGTGGGATCTGGCTTCCTGTGCACAGCACCTAATTGCTACACTATGGGTCTGGCCACAACTTATACTCACTTACCAGGCCACATATCAGTAAAATCCATGCCTATTCATACACACATCCTGGGAACTATCAGGAGTTAAGGAGCTGTGTGTGGACTGACTTCAATGCTGTTCAGAATATACAAGGAAGTTGAAAAGGGAAGTTACAGAATCAGTGTGTGTTGTAAACCCTCATTTTATCTAATAAAGGGTGTGGGTAGCAATTGGGTTGTCGGAGAAGTCAATATATTTCTGTTTTGCTATGCAAAAATATATCATGACTTTTTTGGCAGGGAGAGGTTTTTCGCTATAGGGCGCGTGCGGTCGCCAGACAGACAGAGAGAGACAGAAAGCGAGAAATCATCCCCCAGGGGGGATGGCCATGCCGTAATCCCTTCTCCTCCATTCTCCTCTCGGGATCTTGGGCACACACGCACATGTGCCGGCGTGAATTTTAAGCTACCGGGTCTGGGATGCGAACCACAGTCGACTATGTGGGAGTCCAGCAACACAGCCATTAGGCTAACTGCTGGTCCCTATCATGACTTTTTTTTGACAACCCAATATGTTAAAGATATGTGGGGCCAACAAGTGGCATGGAAGTTAAAGCAGCTGGATCCCACGTGGGTGACTCTGTGATTTGAGTCCTGGACCTGATGGTTTGAAATCATGCTGGGTGTGTGTATGTGCATGCCCAAAATCCCAAAAGGAGATTGGAGAAGGGATTGTGGTGTGGCTGTTCCCCCTGGGCGGGTGCTTTATTGCTTTCCCTCTTTTTCTCTCTTGTTTCTGTCACTCTCTAGCAAGTGCACGTGCCCAATAGCAAAAAAAAAAAAAAAAAGCTATAACCTAAAAATGAAAAAAAAAAAAAAGCTATACACATTTTCCTCTCTGAAGTGCTTTAATATAACAATCATTTTAAGGAGATTGAAGGTTGAAAAACTGAGAAACTTATTTTGAAAGCATAGAAATATTTTTATGATATCTTTATATTTAATATAAAACACATTTTTAGATAAAAATATATGAAGTTGTGTAGACTTTGAATACTTATTTATTTTATTTATTGAGGTCATTATCTGATAACATTGAATATGAAAACATTTTCTTTCATATAAATATATATTTTAAAATTTATGTTTAATTATTGTACATCTTTATAGCATATGATTAGGGTTTTCTTTTTCTTTTTATAAAGAATTATTTTAACTTTATTTATTTTTAAAAATTTGACCAGAGAGGGACAGAGGGCGAGAGAGAGAAAGGGAAAGTGAGAAAGCAAGCCACTAGGTCTGGGACTCAAACCATGGTTGACCATATGGGAGTCCAGTGCCCTTTAACCACCATGCCACCTGCCGATCCCCATAGGGTTTTCAAAGCATAGATGCATGTCAGAGAAGTCAAAGATATAGTATGTGTGTGTGTGTGTACATACATGTGTATATATTTATATTTAATAATTATTTAATTTTATTTACTGTTATTATTTTAACTTGCAATAGGGCATGTGCACTCACCAGAGAGAGAGAGAGAGAGAGAGCAACAGAGAGACCGAGAGAGAGAGAGAAGAAAAGTGAGAAAGCATGCTTCCAAGTCTGGAACTCAAATCGCAGATGGCCATATGGGAGTCCAGAACCTTAACCACCATGCTACCTACTGGCCCCAGGAAGTCAAAGATATTACCACACACAACTTTCCATTCCTGTGTCTATTCATTTTTTTTTTTTTGCTGAGCCCCTCCTACCCACCCCCATATTTTGTATTTAAGAATTACTTTTTATTTAACTTTATTTATTTATTTATTTTTAAACTTGACAAGAGAAGCAGGGGAGAGGGGAGTGAGAAAGCAAGCTGCCAGGTCTGGGACTCGAACCACAGTCAGCCATGTGGGAGTCCAGCGTCCTTAACTACTACGCTCTTTAACCACTACGCTCACCCCCATATTTTATTTCTTTTTATACTGATGGAAATTTTTTCATAGCTGTTAATTGTTATTAAACAAACAAAAGTTGCTGGGTCTTGTTTTCAAGAGGGACACATGTACTAGTTTTCTGTTGATGTGTAGGAAATCCCTCTAAAACTTAGCAGTTGGAAACAACAGTCAACATTTCTCTTTTTTAGAGGTTTTTGCCTTAAGG